TTGGGGAAGAAGGGCAGCCACTTGTCCCTCTCGGGGATTTTCTCGCTCTCACGGCTGCGCCACTCCCGGCCCCGGATCCCGGCGTGGGCCATGAACGTGCTCAGGGCGAAGGCCAGGGCTGAGCTGGGGAGAATTCCCAAAATTCCAGAGTTGGGAATGGAAAAATGAATTCCAGAGAGTGGAATTCCCGAAATTCCAGAGTTGGGAATGGAAAAATGCCATTCCAGAGAGTGGAATTCCCGAAATTCCAGAGGTGGGAATGGAAAAATGAATTCCAGAGAGTGGAATTCCCGAAATTCCAGAGGTGGGAATGGGAAAATGAATTCCAGAGAGTGGAATTCCCGAAATTCCAGAGGTGGGAATGGAAAAATGCCATTCCAGAGGGAGGAATTCCCAAAATTCCAGAGGTGGGGATGGGAAAATGCCATTCCGGAGGGAGGAATTCACAAAATTCAGGTGTTAGGAATGGAAAAAATGCGAATTCAGAGGGTGAAATACAGAAAATCTGGGATTTGGGAATGGAAAAATGTGATTCCAGAGGGCAGAATTCCTGAAATTTGGGAGTTGGGGATGGGAAAATATGATTCCAGAGGGAGCAATTCCCGAAATTTGGGGATGGGAAAATGTGATTCTAGAGGGAGGAATTCCCAAAATTCGGGAGTTGAGAATGAAAAAATGCGATTTCAGAGAGTGGAATTCCCGAAATTTGAGAGCTGGGGATGGGAACATTAATTACAGAGGGAGGAATTCCCAAAATTCGGGAATTGGGAACGGAAAAATGAATTCCAGAGGGAGGAATTCCCAAAATTCAGGGGTTAGGAATGGAAAAAATGTGATTTCAGAGGGAGGAATTCCCGAAATTCGGGAGTTGGGGACAAGAAAATGCAATTCCAGAGGAAAGAATTCCCAAAATTCGGGAGTTGGGGATGGAAAAACGCGATTTCAGAGAGTGGAATTCCCGAAATTTGGGATTTGGGGACAAGAAAATGCAATTTCAGAGGGAGGAATTCCCAAAATTCCAGAGTTGGGAATGGGAAAATGCGATTTCAGAGGAGGAATTCCCAAAATTCCAGAGTTGGGAATGGGAAAATGAATTCCAGAGGGTGAAATTCCTGAAATTCGGGATTTGGGGATGGAAAATGCGATTTTCCCGGGGGAAGCGCCGCTCACCTCCGCTCCTCCTCGTACTTGGACCTGGGGAAAACAGGGATTGGGAATTTCCATGGGATCACAACCCTCTCCCAGATCCCAAATTCCAAACCCCAAATTCCCAAAATCCCATTCCCAATCCCCAAATCCCATTCCCAATCCCAAAATCCCATTCCCAGCCCAAATTCCCATTCCCCAATCCCCAATCCCTGCCTCCTCCCCGATCCCATTTCCCGCTGTTCCTGCCCTGAATCCCGTCGGGAATTCCCAAAATTCCAGAATTCCTGAATTTCCTCCAAATCCCCACATTCCAGAATTCCCAAATTTCCCAAATTCCCGGGATTTCTCACTCACAGGATGTCCCCGAGGTGTCCCATGTGTCTCTCAGCCAGTGCCCTCTCCCTGTGCCTGTTCCCCTTTACCCATTCCCAATTTCACGATTTTTCCCCAATTTCCCGAGTTCTGTGGGTTATTCCCACATTCCAGAATTCCCAAATTTCCCAAATTCCCGGATTTCTCACTCACAGGATGTCCCCGAGGTGTCCCATGTGTCTCTCAGCCAGTGCTCTCTCCCTGTGCCCGTTCCCATTTACCCATTCCCAATTTCCCGATTTTTCCCCAATTTCCCGAATCCCGTGAGGATTTCCCACATTCCAGAATTCCCAAATTTCCCAAATTCCTGGATTTCTCACTCACAGGATGTCCCCGAGGTGTCCCATGTGTCTCTCTGCCAGTGCCCTCTCCCTGTGCCCGTTCCCATTTACCGATTCCCAATTTCCCAATTTTTCCCCAATTTCCCGAGTTCGGTGGGTAATTCCCACATTCCCGAATTCCCAAATTTCCCAAATTCCCGGGATTTCTCACTCACAGGATGTCCCCGAGGTGCCCCATGTGTCTCTCAGCCAGTGCTCTCTCCCTGTGTCCGTTCCCGTCAGGCAATCCCCGAATCCCCAAATCCCCAATTTCCTGACTCCCATGAGGATTTCCCACATTCCAGAATTCCCAAATTTCCCAAATTCCCGGGATTTTGGCTCACAGGATGTCCCCGAGGTGCCCCATGTGTCTCTCTGCCAGTGCTCTCTCCCTGTGCCCGTTCCCATTTACCGATCCCCAATTTCCCGAATTCTCCCCAATTCCCTGACTCCCGTGGGTAATTCCCACATTCCAGAATTCCCAAATTTCCCAAATTCCCGGGATTTTGGCTCACAGGATGTCCCCGAGGTGTCCCATGTGTCTCTCTGCCAGTGCCCTCTCCCTGTGCCTGTTCCCATTTACCGATCCCCAATTTCCCGATTTTTCCCC